CTATTTCATACACCACCAGTGCAGTGATTTTTTGGTAGAGATTTTTTTTTCTTCCATTTCAAGAGCAATATCCACCTAAGAACTGCAGAACTCTTTCTATATTGATAGGGAAGTCAAATTTCAGTGTATATGTAAAATCATGGGAATCAACATGATCAGACCACAAACTGTAATTTCACTAAAGCAAGGGTAGCATTCACCAATGACACGTTTTAAAATTTCAAGGCATCCCGGTTCTTTGTTTTTGATGTATTCTCTCACATGCATAGAAAATAGTATTTCTTCTTTCACATGTGGTTCAGAGTTTCCATCAACCAGCAGTGCAACATCAAACCAAACAAGACTTGGGGGAAAATTAGTTATGTGCCAGAATGCCAGACGTGGTTGCTTTCTCTGTGCCAAACATAGCAGAGATAACTAGTATTCTGGCATACTATACACACATAAATGTGTATATTTTGCCTGAAAAGGCTAAAGGCTTGCTGGTTACACAATGGTTTATTTTTCACTTACCCAAAACATACACTCAACCACTAGTTAAATATTCTGGCTGGTGCTGTCAAATAAGCAATTTCCTTTCAAAGTAATGTTGTAATTAAAACTAGTGCTAGGGGGCATTCAAAACACAATGGGACTGCTTCTCTCATTTAACAGAAATGTAGAGAAGTGATTGAACGGAGAATTTCGCTCATCTGCAGTTATCACTACAATAGAGATGGAGTAAATTACACATTGGGGGTACATCGTGTAGCTCTGCATGCACAGTGAGAGTGTAGATCCATCCTTACATTAAACTGAGGTAAGTACAGTGCGTTTTGACACACTTTCCACCCTCGCTACAATTTTGTCATAACCTTTATGCTGACATTAGTATTCACACAGCCAGCAATAAGCAGTCTCCTTCCCAGAAAAGGCAGGCGGGGAAAGAAACACAGGACTACCTCTTAAAGCCACTGTAACTTACACGTCAAGAGGTACAGTGACTACCCCAGGACAACAACTTTATCCTGTATTATCCTCTTGAATCCTTTCGTCTCCATTCCTCTCCTTCACTTTTTACACGACTTAGTGTCAAAGCCTTGCAAGATGACCTCCCATTTACCAACTGTTATTGAGCATTTATCCACCACGTACTTCCCCATTAACTTGACCCAAAGCATCTTATAGGTACCTGCTTTGCAGTCAGGTACCCCAGATGCCCTCCAGGTTAACAGCAATGAACTCGTGGTATGTCACACACGCCAACACATGGCTCTGCTGTCAACAACTATCAGCCACTTCCTTGTCGGGACACAGGACTCCTCATACTCCCAGAGCAATTTCCCATCCTACCTTATCTCAATCTCCTTGGCATCACCAGCTAGGTTTAGGGAATTGAAGATAAGCTCCCATGCCATACCAAGAAGCAGGAATCAGGGATCAGGCAGCTGGCTGAAAAATCTCTACAGCCAAAATGTTTAGTTGCAGTCCTGCTAAAGGAATTGGACCTGACACACAACTCAGCAGAGTAACTGGACACCAGATGAAGCACAGTCATAACTGAGGCAACCATCAACAGTTGCCTAGCACTCAGACAAGAGGTCTGCTTTCATGATAAAAACGTATATCAAAATAGCTCAAAATAGCACAATTGGAGCTGCCCTGGGAGGCAGGACAAGCTAGAAGCCAGGGTGACCCCAGCTCAGGCGGGCCAGTGCCAGCCCAGAACTAAATTTTCTGTCTTTTGTAGTTGTTCTTTAGTAGCTGGTCAAAGCCAAACAATACAAAACCCAGCATTAAGAGTTCAGAAGTTTCATACAACTTGTTTCCAGTCCAATAGCTACTGCTCACACAGTGGAAAATGTTTTGCACACCGACACATATGAAAGTAAAATATGCTTGTTACTGCCATCCCCAAGATTTAGCAATATACCTAACAAATTACTTAAATTTACATCAGGGGAATAAAGAATCATATATCAATGTCTGTGAATTTAGATTTGTTAATTATATTACAAATTCTAAGCAGTTTAATCGTAATTTCTCTTACAGTGGTTTAGCAAATTTCAACCATTCTCTCATGATTTCTTCAGATCTCTTTTTTTTTGTAATTAATCCATTTACTAAATACCATTTTTGCCTTCCATGTACAGTGCAATTCTAGGAGACCGATTTTGATTTTCCTGGGATTTCAGAAACTGTGTAGCTTTTGTTGTTGTCACATCAAACACATATTAATTCCTTAGCTACTGAAAAAAAAAAATCTTCAAAGCTACCAGCTCTTCTGCATATCTCCTTGCATCTCTTTGATCAAGGTCCTCCAACCATTCAGGAGTAATCCATGGGTAATTATAACTTCTTAGCTTCTTTAACCTAAAAAGAACCAATTTATCACAGACTGTCACAAAGCCTGGCTTTAAATTATCAAGAGTCCAATTATCAACAGGAATAAGGATACCTCTTTCCAATTAAAGTGACTGATTTCACGTAAAACCTAGTAACATTTCACTTTTTAACTATGTACATTATCAAACGTTAAGAGGTTCACCCTCATGCTATCTTCTGTCCAGTGAATGTAATACAACAAACATTAATCATATACCAATATAATGCCAGATCTAATAATGCTTTCAGCATACTTTGACAATTTCTGATCTGTCAGAGCATGCTGTCCATTTTAATTTACTCCTCATTTTCACTCCAAAACTTTTACCTGGAAGTTGGGAGAGGCCTAAACTTTGTATATCCATACATGGCTTTTTTTTGCTTTTTTTGGTTGCTCCTGTTTTTCAAATGTACCCAAACCACTTAAAAGTTAAAAAACAAGAGAAATAGGATCAGACTTAAGCAGGAACAGGGCAAAGAAGAAAATAGTTTGTCAGCTGAGACAGGGGGCAGAACTCTTCACGTTACTACCCACATGAACAGTTTAATTTCCACTAGGTTTACTTGCATAAGTAATAACTTGCCAATCCAGACTTCTTATTTAACTCTTTTCTTAATTTTATGCTAGGCTTAGAGATAGTACCACAGTTGTGTTGTGGAAGGAGACCCCTTCTCTAACAAGTGACAGGAGTTACCTGTGACAGGGAACCTTCCTGGTCAACAGTTCTTCTCAGCTGGGCCAAAGGGCTCCTCACCGCGCCTAGCGGGAACAGATGTAGCACACAGCCTCCTCAGGCTCCTTCTCTCCTCAGGCCAGGCCTGGAGAAAAGAAGGGCCTGGGAATTCTGTACTTTTGGATTATTCTCAAAAGAGATCATATCTTTCAAGGTTGCAGCTTGACAACAAATTCTCTGAAGGACAAAGCTGCTTCATGGATGAGTTTGGACCAAATGCCAGGTAACTAATTCATTAAACCCTCACATGTTTGCCTTCCTAGCACTCCTGCAGCCCCACCACAAAATGTTCCGTCACTCACTGCCTGCTAATGTCTAATTCTAATCTTTATTCTGCATTTTGGTTTAACACCTATTTTTTGGCCTCTCAGGGCAAAAAGCATCTTTGTTGACAAGATCTGAAGCACAATTTGGAAGAAGCAAAGAGGTACCCTTTTGGGTCAACAGATCAGCTGACTACAACAGTGCAAGCCTTTTTTAATCACACAGGACAGTGTCTGCTAAGCAGAATAGTAGCCTATCGTAGCACAGAAAGGTTTGCTGACTTTTGGAAAGAGGGATGGAGAGCCTAAGGTACTGCTGAAAAAAGGTATAAAAGACTCCGGAGGAAGCTCAATTTTAATTAAAAAAAGTATATAGGGATTGATTATATAGCTTATATAAGTTATATAGCTTATATAGGGAACCTGAAGTAGACCTCAAAGCCATATCTCTCATTTCCCCTCGACATTTGTAGGAAAGTGTATTTTCTAGAAGAAAGAAAATATAAATGAGGGAAATGTTTCTGAGAAAAAGGATACCAGCATTTCAAATTCTAACACATACCATGTATGAATGTCTCATCCTTGCAAAAATGTCAAAATAAAAACCTCTCAGACACATTGATGCTTCACAGCATGCTGTGGCAAGTCTTTTATTTTGTTCACCTGATTAGTGCTACTCAAAGTAATTAGATAAAATTGGCAATGAAATCTCAAAATAGCAGTCATAAAAACAATCGCTCTTCAGATAGGAATGTCATTCACCCCACAGTAAGTCAGTGAAGTTGCAACAGAGGTTCTATGAGAAAAGGAGTAGTTCATCATTAATATTATTAAAGCTTCACCACTGTACAGGTGTTATATAAAAAGCAAAGAAAGACACAATCCTGTCCCAAAGAGCTTACAGTCTGAAACCAGTTGCAGTGGTGTCTAACATTATGGTACCAGCACATAGTTTCTATGTAAGTTAAAATAGCAGGGTTATGTCAAAATTGTATCATTGGTAGTAAATTCACAGGCTAGGAAGGAAAGATAACTCTCAAGAAGGGTATTACAACAGATGCTCTTCTGAAGATCTTTGATAGTCTAGGGTAAGGAAGGAACTGAAGTTATACAAAGTCTAGAGTAAGCCATGAGAATAAAGTGAGAAAGTTGGACCTAAAGCGTGATGTAGTGTGAGGAAAAGGAAGAGCCAAGATTTGCATTGGCTGGTGTTAGGCAGAGCCCCACATACAAAGGTGACAAAAAGGAATCAATGAAAAGGCAAAGAAAACAGTGGAACAATTAGAAGAGAGGAAATACATTTAAGGAGCACCAGACAAGAAAATTTGCAGCGCTTTGGACTAAAAAGTCAGTGCAGAGAAAGTCACAGGTCCATTTAATTGAACATAGCAGTCCAGTTTGATGCAAGGTTAACAAATTAAAATAACATGCTTTTTGCAGGAGCATCAAATATGCACCCTCCAAAATAAGAATATAAAATTAATAATCTAAAGAAGTTTAAAATATAAAATGTATAGAGAAATAAACATCTTGTAAATTGATTTCACTACAAACTCATGCATCTTAGCTTTAAACCTATGAACGGTAACACCAAAAAAAAAAAAAAAAAAAAAGGCCTCTGAAAACTGCTGGTGTTGTACAGTTGGAATAAATCTGACAAACCAACTAAATATTCTTAGAGAACACTTAACCTCAACTCTAGCCTCATTGCGTGGTCATATCAAGCTCTATGGAAGGCTTGCCAAGTTTTGCCTTCTGAAATTTAAACACAGTATCTTTAAAAAAGTCATTTGTAACTGCAGAAACAAGAAATAACAAAGGCAAAAGAATTTTCAAATGGTAGGGTAGATTCTTATTCTAGTTTTAGCTATATGAGGACAGAGTGACTATGAATTTCAACAGAGTGTTATAGCAGCATGTCTAAGGTCAGAATCAGATCCACAGCATCTTTAAATGCTGCTCACAGTTTAACTGCAAATTAAGGGGGCTGCTTTACAAATTTTGGAACCAGTCTTGATTGGTCTGGGGATCTTTCACCTTCAAACAGAAGGCAAGGTTGTCCAAGTCCTTGCAAGATCAGGCCCTCAGTCCCACGTAGTTAACTAAAAGATCTCCAAGAACTAAAAGATAATATAACTTGTGCGCTACAGCTCTGCAGTACCACAGTAATTTTCAAACCCTTTTATTTCATAGACGTGCAGCATGGCTCTAACCCATAAGCGTTTACGACTGATGCATCTGCATGAAGCTTCTCATGAAGGTTGCAAGCTTCTGAACATCTTCTACAGTCACCGCATTATATAAAGAGGCACGGATTCCTCCCACGGATCTGAATTGAAAAGAGGAGGGGACACCAACAACAAAAAGATAGGTTTTGCGTATGCTAGAAAAAGCCTTGAATGTCATTTTCTATTCACAGCTATATGCCCCTACCCCAAAGTGTTAGAGTCACATTTTTTGTGAATGAACAGCAACATTTAATTCTTAAAGGTAAGCTTTCTATTAGCATATATTCAGTATTTATTAAGTATTTATAGCTCCAACACTGTAGCCCTGTAACCTCAAAAATCTAATTTCTTAATCCCACAAACACCACTGTCACAGAGGACGGAACTCTTGCTGCCACATAGACCACCTTTGCAATGGATACTTTATACAGTAATGAATCTGACCTTAAGAGCATTAACTCCTTCGGCATTTGCGGAGAGCCTGATTAATCAAACTGAGGAAGAAAGCAGAAACAAGGAGAAACCTCTCTTGGTCCCACCTAAGCTGTAGAAGAGCCATCATCAGACTCCAAATACAGTCTCTATGCTGCTGTTCCCAGTGTTCCCAAACAAATATGCAAGGAAAGGCTTGTCAGGGAGAGAGGTTGGTAAGTTAACAGAAAATGCCTGCTGCTGTATCACTGTAATACTATTAAATTCTACACAATAAAAGGGTTCATCTTAGTCTAGCGCTTACCGATGTCCTTTCAGAGATATCATGTTAAGTTCCACAGCTTTCTCAAGGAATTTCTTTTCCAGGGCTTCATCCCCCTTGATACTCCCAATGCGGAAGGGGACGTTCATTCTGCTTCGGTTCTTCTTCTCCACTGGGCATCTGGGAAAAATTGCAAAACGCAATGATTAACCTATTCTGTGCTAAATCTACATTTTTAGCTACATACAATTTCAGGAATTGCATCTGTTTACCACTAGTCATTTTTCTGCCGTAATCAAAGAGATGATTACTTTCTATGAAATAAAGGAACTTTCCTTTTTCGG